AAAACTGACCAATACTGTGTCTGAGTACTGAACCATATAATCTATACAGAAGTTAAAACTGACCAATACTGTGTCTGAGTACTGAACCATATAATCTATACAGAAGTTAAAACTGACCAATACTGTGTCTGAGTACTGAACCATATAATCTATACAGAAGTTAAAACTGACCAATACTGTGTCTGAGTACTGAACCGTATAATCTATACAGAAGTTAAAACTGACCAATACTGTGTCTGAGTACTGAACCGTATAATCTATACAGAAGTTAAAACTCACAAATACTGTGTAACAAAATAAAAAATGGATACTAGTTGCTCCCCATTTGTTAACCCTGGTTTGTAGTTCCGATTGTTCAGCAAGTGAACAGGCACCAAAAGCTAAGATCCTACCTTCGAACCCACATTCCACAAGAAGACTTGACAGGTAGACAGCTGTTTTACCTATGCCAATGTTGGTGATGACTACGTCAGTCTTACCAAGAACTGGAGCCGGAGGTGGTCTGGGCTTATTTAATAACCTGGCTAATATCAGCGAATTTGGAGACATTGGTTTTTGGATGTTCTTTTTCTCCCATTCTAAGGCAAGTGCTTTTCTCAGACACTGGGGTCCTAAACAACTAACACTTTCCTGGAATTTATAAATACAAAATCTAGTTATTGTTCTTCCATCAGATGTCGTTGTGGTGCAATCAAAGACAACAAAAACAAAATTCAAAACATAATACTTTATAATACAACGCACAGTTTAGATGCAGCTATAGAATAGAGGTCGCTGGTGTAGTCACATCCAAATTAAAAATAATAATAAAAAGAAGTGATTACTTACGGGTTTTTATCATCTATATTACAACAGTCAACAGTACGTATCAACATCTATATTACAACAGTCAACATTACGTATCAACATCTATATTACAACATTCAACAGTACGTATCAACATCTATATTACAACAGTCAACATTACGTATCAACATCTATATTACAACATTCAACAGTACGTATCAACATCTATATTACAACAGTCAACATTACGTATCAACATCTATATTACAACAGTCAACATTACGTATCAACATCTATATTACAACAGTCAACAGTACGTATCAACATCTATATTACAACAGTCAACATTACGTATCAACATCTATATTACAACACTCAAGATTAGGTATCAACATCTATATTACAACAGTCAACATTTACGTATCAACATCTATATTACAACAGTCAACAGTACGTATCAACATCTATATTACAACAGTCAACAATACGTATCAACATCTATATTACAACAGTCAACAGTACGTATCAACATCTATATTACAACATTCAACATTAGGTATCAACATCTATATTACAACAGTCAACAGTACGTATCGCTATCTGTATTACAACAGTCAACAATACGTATCACTATCTACAGTACAATACAAAACAATACGTCGTTTTCGTTTGTCGTCGGCTTCACTGAATAAAAATTTAAAGGGTATTAAATTTGAACCGTTTGCTGATTATTAAATTCGATCTTTAGCAAAGTTCCTCAAAATTCGTTCATCCACTTCCTCACAACAGCTTATCACTTAAATACACCAAACAAATGGACTGTTATATTGATGTTGTGATAATAAATGGACTGTTATATATATATTGTGATAACAAATGGACTATTATATAAATGTTGTGATAACAAATGTACTATTATATAAATGTTGTGATAACAAATAGACTATTATATAGATATTGTGATAACAACTGGACCATTATATAGATATTGTGATAACAAATGGACTGTTATATAGATATTGTGATAACAAATGGACTATTATATAGATGTTGTGATAACAACTGGACCATTATATAGATATTGTGATAACAACTGGACTGTTATATAGATATTGGGATAACAAATAGACTATTATATAGATGTTGTGATAACAATTGGACCATTATATAGATATTGTGATAACAAATGGACTATTATATAGATATTGTGATAACAACTGAACCATTACATAGATGTTGAGATAACAAATCGAATCATGACTCAGAGTAAACATTTTGTAAAATGAAATATTGTACTAACTTGAACAACAAGAATATCTTTCTTTAGCACGCGGCTCCACAAGAGGCGTTCTTTGTCACACGGAAGGAAGCACAAAATGTCCGCAACATGTCGCTCTGAGAATAAGTAAGGTAATGGAATCCCAGGGTCATGTAGTGGTGTGACTGTGATGCCTTCATTTTGTAATTCGTTTATGATCGACTGAATGCTGTAAAAGAGTTATTAAATAGAACAAAACTTACATGATCTATTAGAATTTTTATTTTATCTATAAATCAGTGCCTCAACAGTCATACTTATATCTTTGTCAGCAACCAATTCTAATCTAATGGTAACTACAACTGTTCAATGATAAAATATAACTTCATTCGTCACGAGATTTCTGTTATCTAAAAATACTTAAAAAAACAGCATGAAAACATTATTTAATAATAATAATAATCACGTTTACCTGACATGATGCTTATTACGATTCACCCAGGCCCACAAACTTAGTCTTGCTTTGGAATTATTATTAGTATCTTTCCATACGCCTCGGGCAATTCTGTAGATACAAGGTGATGAAGGAATCAAATCGTCTAAAGATTTAGCGTTTCTTTTAATTCTTAATCGTGCAAAAGCAGCATTAAATTTAGTCCTCATTTTCACCATCACGTTTTCAAGGTCCTCAATGTCCGGATCCGACTCCTCATGAGAAAATTTTACCCGACGAAGAAACCGGCGAAGTCGACAGTCGTGTAGGATGACAAAAATAAGTGCTTTGTGTACCTGATACTGGGATAATACATTAACTGGTGACGTAGGAAACATTAAAGAAATACTTTAGGTTAAAACGCTTCACATTTAAGGAGTCTTTGCTTTAATCTAATGTTCCGAGCTCTTCAATATGCTAGCCAAAACGTAGAAAATGTGTGAAATATGTAAAATATTTGTCATTATTCCAGTCCATGTTTCTAAAATACATATCCGAGTTTTAAGTAAAAAGTAATGCTTCTGGAGCTTAACTAAATATAAAAATGAACTGTACTTGTAAGAAATAGTTGTGGTTTTTTTCGAAGAATGCTATGACTCCAAAAGACTTAAAAACAAATGTTTTAATGTTCAAGTTAAGAAGTGTTCCTAGCACTAAGAGTCAATTTAGATATATTCTGACTTGTCTAAAATACGAATCTGTCCTTAATAAAAGTCCAGGAAGAGTTATTAGATCTCTCAAAAGGATTAAAATGAGAATCTTTGGGTCAAGTATGATAAACAAATATTGTAGTTCTCTAAGATAAACAACCAAATGAATTAGGCAGCTACAATGTGACAAAACCTGAGGCATGTTGAATCCGTGTAAGAGGGAAACTACGTGGTCAACGTTTTGAATTCGTCACAATGTAAAGTTTAATTTATTCGTAACACACTGACTGACATGGTGATAAATTTAATGAACAAACTTTACCAATATATATTCCTGTTGAATGAATAAACTTTACTAATATATATATTCCTGTTTAATGAACAAACTTTACCAATATATATATTCCTGTTGACACAAACTTTACCAATATATATATTCCTGTTGACACAAACTTTACCAATATATATTCCTGTTGAATGAACAAACTTTACCAATATATATTCCTGTTGAATGAATAAACTTTACCAATATATATTCCTGTTGAATGAACAAACTTTACCAATATATATTCCTGTTGAATGAACAAACTTTACCAAAATATATTCCTGTTGAATGAACAAACTTTACCAATATATATATTCCTCTTGAATGAACAAACTTTACCAATATATATTCCTGTTGTGTGACACAAACATCCCCACGTATATTTCTGTTGAATTAGACAACATTCCCCACGTATATTCTTACCGAGTAGCCCAAACATCACCACGTATATTTCTGTTGGATCAGACAATATTCCCCACGTATATTCCTATTGAGTAGCCCAAACATCCCCACGTATATTTCTGTTGGATCAGACAACATTCCCCACGTATATTCCTATTGAGTAGCCCAAACATCCCCACGTATATTTCTGTTGGATTAGACAACATTCCCCACGTATATTCTTGTTGAATGAACCAAACATCCCCACGTATATTTCTGTTGGATCAGACAACATTCCCCACGTATATTCTTACTGATTAGCCCAAACATCCCCACGTATATTTCTGTTGGATTAGACAACATTCCCCACGTATATTCTTGTTGAATGAACCAAAATACCGACATACTTCTCCATCAAAACTATAATTATATCTACTGTTAAGTTACAAAACTTTTAAACTTTACATTGAGTTGATGAGTGAATACATGTACATTAAGCTATCAGATATTTCTGGCGTATATTAGACGATAAGTAACATGGTCATCTATCGATGACTTAACTTTATAAACTGTGTAGTTAATATTAATGTTATTCGATAGATAAGTAAAAGAATCTACGTTCTAGTTCGATTTACGTGTACACATGCATACATATAATGTATTAGTTATACACATATTCAACCATATATGTGGCTAACCTGGGGATATTTGAGGAAGAAAGAGCATTCCTCCAATACCTCATCATATATGGGTCTGTCTGAAAAAAATATATACATAGTTTCAAAGTTATAAACTCAGAGTAACTTAGGACTGCCTCATTTACTAAGTACATATGAAATTATTTATTGAAATCCAAAAGAATTGTTATGAGATACTGTAAAAATTGGGACTTACGAAGTCTGTAATTTTACACTTGACAATGTAGCCCAAAACAGATCTTATCCTAATGTAGCCCAAAACAGATCTTATCCTAATGTAGCTGAAAATAAATCTTATTCTAATGTAGCTCAAAATAGATCTTATCCTAATGTAGCTCAAAATAGATCTTATCCTAATGTAGCTCAAAATAGATCTTATCCTAATGTAGCCCAAAACAGATCTTATCCTAATGTAGCTCAAAATAGATCTTATCCTAATGTAGCCCAAAACAGATCTTATCGTAATGTAGCTCAAAATAGATCTTATCCTAATGTAGCCCAAAACAGATCTTATCGTAATGTAGCTCAAAATAGATCTTATCCTAATGTAGCTCAAAATAGATCTTATCCTAATGTAGCCCAAAACAGATCTTATCGTAATGTAGCTCAAAATAGATCTTATTCTAATGTAGCCCAAAATAGATCTTATTCTAATATAGCCCAAAACAGAGCTATATCCTAATGTAGCCCAAAACAGAGCTTATCCTAATGTAGCCCAAAACAGACCTATATCATAATGTAGCCCAAAACAGATCTTATCCTAATGTAGCCCAAAACAGATTTTATCCTAATGTAGCTCAAAATAAATCTTATTCTAATGTAGCCCAAAATAGATCTTATTCTAATGTAGCCCAAAACACAGCTATATCCTAATGTAGACCAAAACAGAGCTTATCCTAATGTAGCCCAAAACAGAGATATATCCTCATGTAGCCCAAAACAAAGCTATATCCTAATGTAGCCCAAAACAGATCTTATTCCTAATGTAGCCCAAAACAGAACTTATCCTAATGTAGCTCAAAACAGAGCTATATTCTAATGTAGCCCAAAACAGAGCTATATCCTAATGTAGCCCAAAACAGAGCTATATCCTAATGTAGCCCAAAACGGAGCTTATCCTAATGTAGCCCAAAACAGATCTTATCCTAATGTAGCTCAACATAAATCTTATTCTGATGTAGCCCAAAACAGAGCTTATCCTAATGTAGCCCAAAACAAAGCTATATCCTAATGTAGCCCAAAACAGAGCTTTTTCCTAATGTAGCCCAAAACAGAGCTTTTCCAATTAAATTTCCT